TTCATGCCCTGGCGCCATCCGTTGGTTTCTCGGAGATGATCGGAAACACGCGTCCACAGCAGGCCGAGCGCCTTGTTACGACGCTTGACCGACGATGGGGCGTCCAACCGCGCCCGCATGGGAGTCTCCACGAATGTCTTCGGGTCCGCCCAGTGCATGCCCTTGGCCCGTACCTGGTCCACGCAGTCCCTGGCGTTCATGTCCGATTCGAACTCGATACCGAAGGAGGAGTTGAGGTTGTGCGCCCGCGTCGAGAAGGGCACGTCCTGCGGCACGAGCCCCTGCTTCTTGATCGTGTCAGCGAAGGCGATCATCACTTTAGCTAGAACTGGCAGAGGAAATCCGCGAATCCAAACCTTACACGGATTGCTCTCAGGCGTCGCAGTGCCACCATAGCTCTCAGGACCTGCGGTGCGGGCCCTCTTGGACCCGAGCGAAGATGCGAGGGTAGATCCGCTGGCAGTAGAACGAGAGTCATTGGCCACCTGTCCAGCCAACTCCTTCAGCTGCAACGCAGTGGTGTCGGCTTGTGTCTGCAGTCTCTTGATGACGTCGGATTCCCCTAAATTTGCCAGCGCGTCGCTCATCACGTCCATTGTGGCCTGCACGCTAGCCAGCTGCTCGGCGAGCACTTCGAACTTCTGATGGTGCGCAAAGACCTCCTCCCTGATGGCCTTCATGTCACCGAGATGGCCCTCGACCTGGGTCATGCGCGTGCCGAGTCCCTCGATGCCCGAGAGGATGCGGGCGAGCGTGTCATCGCCATGAGCCGCCGCTGCGCTGCCATGTGGCCGCACACAAAATGAGGCGGCTGGAGAGATTGGAGTGTCCGCCTGGGTCTGACCCCAGATCGCCCTCTGAAGAGAGCTGCCGCGCTCAAAAGGGGCCTGTCCCCGACTTGGGCCAAAATGGCAACGGAGGGGGGGATGAGGAGGAGGAGGAGGAGGAGGAGGAGGAGGAGGAGGAGGAGGAGGAGGAGGAGGAGGAGGAGGAGGAGGAGGAGGAGGAGGAGGAGGAAGGGGGGAGGGGGAGGAGGAAAACCAGGTCGAGGAGGAGGGCGGAGGAACGCCAGAAAAACTCATCCGCGTTGTTGTTGTTGTTGTTGTTGTTGTTGTTGTTGTTGTTGTTGCGCTCAACACGAATCTTGGCTCCAGGCCTCCTTCTCCTCTTCCGTCCCCGTCGTCGCTAGTCCCCCCAGCGCGGCGGAAACGGTCTGAATTTTGCCGAGTTGCGTCCATGTAAAGGATATTCTTGTTGATTGGCAGGTACTCTGGATGATCTCCTGGATTGTTCCTCGTAATATTGATTGACGGTCTGGTATCCAATCTCGTGTATCTCGGGGAGGTAGGCCTTCCCGCGATGGCTTCCAATTATTAGAAAAGCCAAAGTCGGTGCCCACATGCCGGCCTCGCGCGCGCGATCTTTTACCTATCTGCAGATCGCTGCGTAAAGCATGTCCAGTAAAGGATGCCAGCCATGCGAACAAAATGGTCAGCATGATCAAAAAAAGAAGCACGAAGGAAGCGTTGGTAGTAAGTCTTTCCCCGCGTCTCCCGCTTGAATCCCGCAGTGAACGGGTTGCGCAGCTGGAGACCAACGTAGCCAACCGCGTCGCCCGGCGCCGCCCGCCCAGGGCGACCCTGGCGGCGCGCTTAGCGCGCCAGCTCGTCGGCCAACGCCGCCGCGGAAGCCTGCGCGGCCTCGCGCCTGAGGGCGGTCTGGAGGTGGCACACTGTGGCCTGGTGCAGGGCCGTGTTGAACTTGCAGCCCCGCCACGCGGCGAGGGCGCTGGCGGCCGCCTCGGCCTGGGGGCCGTCGTTGTCTTCCTCCTCCACCTCCTCCTCACCTTGCTGCACCTCGGAGGAGGAAGGGAGGCCGGTGCCGGGCAGGAACAGCAGCAGGTCGTCCTCCGAGCGGCCGCCGACGCGCTCGAAGCGCACGGAACCCACGGTCTCGTCCCCGGGGGATAGCACGACGGACTCAAGCATGCGCCTGCCACGGCAGGGGGAGGACACCCAATGGAGGATGTCTCCTTCTCCATCCTCCTCCTCCTCCTCCTCCTCCTCAACCTCCTCCTCCTCCTCCTCCTCTTCCTGCCTCTCCTGTTGCTGCTCTCCTCCCCAAGTGACGGTCGCCGCTGGGGGGTAGTCAGGGTAGGAGATCTGCAATGATGAAGCAAACGAGAAATCCTCCAGAGGGTCAGATGCGCTCCTGCGGCCCCTGGCGCGGCTGCAGGCCGAAACAACGGTGCCCCTCCTCCTCCTCCTCCTCCTCCTGCCCCTCCTGCCCCTTCTCCTCCCGCCCTCCCGCCCTCTCTCCTCCGCCCTACCTCCTCCCTCCTCCCCGCCATTCGCGGGGATGGCCCCCACCCCAATCGGCTCTCAGGGGGAGGCCTTGAGCGGACATTCGCGGGGATGCCCGCCCCCCCAAGTCGGCTCTCAGGGGGGCGGCCTTGAGCGGACGTCCAGAGAATCCGCCACACCTGGATCCAAGGCCGGCCTCCTCCCTCCTCCATCCCTCCTCCCATTGGCAAGCGGGGATCGCCCAGACGAGTGCCGGATCCTGTGCACGCTGCCAATCACTCATTTCCGAAGGATACCGCGGAATGCCCACGAGAGCGGCGAAATGCTCGCCGCCATGAGGGGGTCGGTTGGGTCACGCGCCAAACCATCGCAACAGATGTAACCTTCACCCTCGGGCCTGTTGATCCCAGTGAATGGCCGCCTTTCTGGTTACGATGGGAGGAGGAGCCAGCTCGGGGACGAGAGGAAGACGCCAGCGGCAATCTTATCCACATCCTGGTGCCAACGCTCCGGGTTGTCCACTGCCGTTGAAAATAATCTGCTGCAATGTGTCTGCTGGCGCCGGGCGGTGGCGTCGCATTTGCACTCTTTCGGTGGAAGACCGTGCCAACCGTCACCCCACAGAGATTGCACAAAGCAGACTCGACGTAGACAGGACAGTATCTGTGCCTGTGAAGTCTCTCTTCGGCCTACTGGAACATCGAGACACAGCTGCGCAGAGCTTTTTGCTTCCTAGCATCCCAAGACTCCCCACTGGTCTGCTCAAGGAGTGCAGGGAGGTGCTGCCACATGATGGATAAAATTCCAATTGGGGATCCAGCATGAACCTGGAGAGCCGAATGGTCTGAGGAAGCGGGCGGCCCCATGGGCCAGCCATCCTACCTGCAAAGAAACCATCTTCAGGAGGTTCAAGGGCATGCCCGTCTTAGTCTTGAGGAGGCGAGCCTTGTCCACCTGCCACCCAATGGCCCTCAAAGTGAGGTGATTCTCCTCTCCTCTTCTGCCTTCCCCCTCCGCTCCCTCCTCCTCCTCCTCCACCTGCTGCTGCTGCTCCTCCTCCTCTTTCTCCTCATCCTCGTCCTCGTCGTCCTCCTTCTCCTCCTCCTCCTCACCTGACCACCAAACATCTCGTTAGGGCGGGCCGTGCACGTCGATGTATGACCCTGAAGCTTAGTAGTTGCAACACTGTTCAAACAGATGAAGGGCGGGTCGTGTTTGAACTGAAGCTAGCGCCTATACGCCGTGCACATCCGTCTGAAATGCTTGCAACAACTGCAAAGATGGAGGGCGGGTCGTTTTCAAAAACTGAGCTCTCGCCTTCACGCTGCGCGCATTCGACTTTAAACGTTTGTAAGCGTATGGAGGGTGTTTCTTGTCTCAATGCGACTGTCGCCTTAGCGCCCCTCGCATGTGTCTTACGTAACATTCCGCACCATGTATAAGGATGGAGAGCGGATCCTCTTCAAAAAAGGGCTTTCAACACGTCCAGCAATTATGCGGCTGGAGACCGGCCCGTTTTCAAAATGGGGCTCTCGCTTGGTACTTCGACAGACACCACGCTTGACACATTGTGCGACAGCTGCTCGCATGATGTTTTTTTCTGTCATGCATGACTAGACCTGCCACCTTGCCCAACGAATGCACGGATGAGGGGCGGTTCCCTTTCAGAGCGGGGCGCTCGCTGGACACATCGACTTGCCTTATGCCCATGCCCTGCCGTGTTCCTGTACAATTCCGAAGAAGGACGCAGGGCGATTCGTTTGCAAAGAGCGGCTTTCGCCTGCATGGCAGGCCCATGTAGTCTTCGTCTTTCAAAGAGGGCATTTCTTGTAATGCAAAGGAAGACTTACAGGGACTTCTGAGGGAACTTGACGCGTGAGGGTGTTCTGCAGCATCGTTGAAGCTTCCTGCGTTTACTTTGTCCTCCTCCTTCGGTTCTCCTCCTTCTCCGATGGGGGAGGAGCTTGCGGAAGGGTTCCAGGTAGGCGCCTGCTCGCGCCAGGGTCCGAGAAGAGGTCCCCCGTGGTCCCTGCCAGGGCCTCCTCCCAGGCGGGGACGAGCTGTCCCACAAGGCGCTCGTCGGCGGCCTCGCAGGGGAGGGGGAGGGGGGGGGACCTCCACCTCCTCGCGTCGCGAAAAAAAAAAAGCACGGCTGAAAGTTGGCTTGCAGATCTCGGTTTCCGGGGGGCCCTGCTGGGCCCCGGGGCCCTCAGCAAGTACGACTCGGGGTGAAACGCTGGTCCCCAGAAAAGGGTCCAGACCTCTGGTGGGCCAGGCCTCCGACGTTTGCTCTTTTGTCCCGCGGCTCCTCGGCGTCTCGCTCCGAGGAGTGGTTGTGGACGGTCCCGGGGCCGGGCACGGGCCCCCGGAAGTCGAAACATAGCCGAACACCTTCCACCCGTTGCTTCTGTGGTTCCCGCAGCGAGGGCAGGTCGGTGGGGAAGCAACGTTCTACACAACATCCACGACGTCGGAGGTCTGGGGAATCGAATCGAATCGAGCTCTGGGGGCAGTTCGATCAGCTCGTCTGTGTGAGAAGCCTGGGCCACTCCTGGCGACTTTCGCTGGTTTATAACTCGAAACTGCTTGCCTATACGCCCTGAGGACCTGCCAAGGTATTTACGTGGCAGGTCTGGGGAGGGAGGTGGAGTGAGGGAGGGCGAGGGTAAGGAAGAGGAGGCGGAGGTGACAAAATGGAGGAGATAGGGGAGGAGCGAACTTCACCTGAGGGGCAGGTCCGTTCGATCATCTAGCGGCCGCCCATGTGCGCATGCACGCTGAGCTGGCCACCGCTGCGGCACGCAGGCGGCGCGGGTGCCGAGCGCGAAACACGCTGGTTTATGTTGTCTCGGACGGGGGCCCAAACGAGACCTCTGCCTCCCTGGGTGCTGCCATCTGCGCAGCTGTTGGCACTTTTGTGAATTCCTGGGAGGACCAGCGGCGTGCGGGGCTATGGGGGCCCAACCCCAAAAAACTCGCCCTTCATGAACGCTGCCAACTGCGAAACCGCTTTTTCGGGAGCTCCTGGGAGGTCCAGCGAAGTGCCGAGCCAATGGGACCCAAACTAGACCTCGCCCGTCCTGGGTGCTGCCATCTGCTCAGCTGTTGGCACTTTTGTGAGCTCCTGGGAGGTCCAGCAGAAAACTACGCAACTCACGCCATTTTTGTGAGCTCCTGTGATGTCCAACACAGTGGCGTCCTATGCAAAACCGAATGGGAAGTCGCCCTCTTGCTGCTGCCAACTGCGCAACTGTCGCCACTGTGGTAAGATTGCGGGTGTCCAGCATAATGACGTCCTACGCGGATCCGAACGGAGCACCGCTTTCTTGATTAGTGCCAACTGCGCAACTGTCGCCGCTTTCGTGGTTTTGCGGGGGGCCCAGCAGAGTGACGTCCCACTCGGATCAGAAAGGGACATCGCCCCTTTGGGTAGTGCCAACTGCCCAACTGCCGCACCTTTCGTGAGCTTGCGGGGGTCCAGCAGAATGACGTCCTACGCAGGCCCAGCCGCGACCTCGCCTTCCTGGGTGCTGTCACCTGCGCAACTGTCGCCTCTTTCGTGCGCTCCTGGGAGGTCCAGCGGAGTGCGGTCCGAGCGGCGCAGGGCTGAATCAATATCAACACCTGCGATGATAAATATTTCAGGAGGTCGACTGGTTCGGGACAGCACACCGAGCATGAACGCACATCGACCACCAGAACGCCGCAGCGCTGCGGGCAATTTTAGGCTCCTACATCGCCGACGAGCCGCCTCCTCCTCCTCCTCTTTTTCCTCCTCCTCCTCCTCATCCCCTACAAGACCCTCCCCCCGAGGGCCCCCAATGGCTTGAAAGAGGCCCCCCCCAAAAGCCCCCAATTTTTCCGCAGAGGCCCCTGAGAACTACCTAAGAGGCCCCAAGGAGGCGCCAAGAGGGCCCCAATATGCCTCCTCCTCCTCCTCCTCCCCTCCTGTCTTCCTCCTCCTCCTCCTCCTCCTACTCCTCCTCTCCTCCTCCTCCTCCTCCTCCTCCTCCTCCTTCCTCCTCCTCCCCTCCTCCTCCTCCTCCTCCTCCTCCTCCTCTCTTCCTCCTCCTCCTCCTCCTCCTCCTCCTCCTCCTCCTCTCCTCCTCCTCCTCCTCCTCCTCCTCCTCCGACCCTCTTCACCATCAGCCCCATGGACCTCAAGCGGCACTTGGAGGACGGCGTGGCTCGCTGGCAAGGACGGCAGATCATGGATCACTTCGGTGATCTGAAGGGCGAGGGCGAGCTGCGGATGCGAGCCCTACGCTTTTGCGAGGGTGCTGCCGGTGCGCGGTGTCGGACTGCCCCGCGGCCACAAGCCTGCGCGTCCACTGGTCGGGCGCGCCGTGGACGCGGCAGCAGCAGTTCGACGTGAGGTTCGCTCCTGCTCCCACCCGTCTGGCCTGCAACGGGCCGTCGGACTCGCCAGGCCACCGTTTCTACGAGCGGGAGGAGCTGCTGAAGCCTGGCCTGCTGGGTGAGGAGGCGGACGCTGTCCTGTCTGAGCGGCTGCAGGACGTGTTGGCCCACATGCAGGACAAAGGCCTGGCGCGGGGGGGGGGGGCACTCCCAAATTTGATGGCTTCGAGCACGCCGTTGGCATGCAGCTCAAGCCCCCTCGAGTCCCTCCTGCCGCGTGGGATGTCCCTGTGTGTCTCTGGGGCGACTGGGCCACGAAGGTCCCCAGCGAGCTGGGCAGCGCGGCCTTCACGGACGGCTTGCGCTTTGCTAGCATCCCCGAGCTGCGGCGCTGCGGGTGGGCCGTGGTCCATGCGACGGAGGAGTCCCACTGCGCGCAGCCTACGGCCCGCTACCTGGGCCGCTGCCGAACGCCACGCGCTTCTGCGGCCCCGAGCTGGAGCAAGCCAGAGCCGCCCACACCACGCTCTGGCGCAAGCTGCGGCGGCAGGAGCATCGCCCTGATGTAGCCTGGATCCCGGCGCGCAAGGACATCCACTCGTACCAGAACCGCGCCCTCCACCCGCTGCTTTACGCTGGCAACATGTGTGCGGACTGGTTCGCGAAGCAGGGGGCCACGCAGCACACAGTCTCGCAGGCGTACGTGTACTTCTACGGCCTGGAGCTGCAGCACTACAAGCGGGTGGCTTCCTACATCGGCTGGGACGTGCAAGGATCGCTCACGCCCGAGATGTGGGTGCCGTCGCAGCGGCACGTGCCGACGCCTGCCCCTCGGGCCACGGCCCCAGTAACAGTCATCGAGATCACGCTGGTCCAGCTGCGGGGGCGTGGCATTGCCATGTGCAGCGCCTGCGGCAAGTGCTCGGCGGCGTCGCCTGGCACCACGTGGAACCAGTTCTTGAGGTCGCCATGCGAGCCCAACGACTTCTCCAAGCTCCGGGCGGCGGCCATCATCGAGCAACTGAGCGCCGACACCCTGCAGCTCTCGTCCGAGGGGGCGATGGCCATCCACGAGCTGGCGGCTGCTGGCGAGTCGGAGGAAAGGCCATCCTTGGCGCCTCCGCCGCCCACGCCATGGGCCACTGGAGACGCGGTGGTCCATCACCTCCAGCACCGCCTACGTAGGGCTGGGCCTACCGTGTTCTGCGAGGTCTGCGTGGCGTGAGCCGACAAGGGCGCGTCCGCTGAGCTCCTCAAGACCTGCAAGGGGATGCCGACAGCGGAGGGCCACTGCTCAAGGACGTACATCTCCAACCTGAACGCCAAACGGCGCAAGCTGCTGCAAGGGCGGCATCCCAAGACGGGCTTGGCGCTCACCTGGAGGTGCGAGCAGACGAGCAGTGGGGCCGAACCCCACTTGGCAGCTGCCGACGGGCGGGTGGCCGATGCCTGCCTCGGGGGCGATCCGCACCTGCATGCCCTCGACGGAGGGGTGGCCGATGACATGCAGATGGGTTGCAGTGAAGACCCCTCCGCTGGATCGAGCTCGCCAGGTCCTCGCGTGGCAGGTGGTGCCGCGGGACAGCCACGGTGGTCGTGGCAGGAGTGGCGCCTGACGAGGGGGTGGTCGCTGCCCACTCCACAGGTGAGCAAGGGCCTCGTGCTGCCGACGGGAGGGTGGTCGATGCCGCGGGGTCTGGACCCGTTGGAGGTGCCGCCGACCGGCGGGTGGTCGTGTCCTCCTCCTCGGGGCCGCCCTCCCGTGCTGCCGACGGGCAGGTGGCCGATGCCAGTTGAGGGGCCGCGGCGGCGGGTGCTCGCTGGCGCCGTCGGCGCGCGGAGCTGCTGCAGCGAATGGGCGAGCGGCTCAGCCCGCTGGACCAGCTGGGCGGCGGAGCGTACGGCGCGCTGGCGGCCGACGCCGAGCCCGACATCCATGCGTGCGGCATCGTCGTGATGCCCTTCGTTGGCTCCATCGCGGAGCCCTTCATGCCTGACCTCACCTGAGGTCCGCGGCCCCTGGCCGCCCTCGAGATGCTGTTCGGTCTCACGGACGGCGCTCTCCAGCACTGCTCCACTGCTCTCCTCTCCTCTTCTCGTCTCCTCCCTTCTCCTCTCCTCTCCTCTCCTCCTCCCCTCGTCCTCTCCTTTCTCTTCTCCTCTTCCTCCCCTCATCCCCTCCTCCTCCTCCTCCTCCTCCTCCTCCTCCTCCTCCTCCTCCTCCTCCTTCCCCTCCTCCTCCTCCTCCTCCTCCTCCTCCTCCTCCTCCTCCTCCCAACCACCCCTCCTCTCGGTCCTCATTGCGCTCCCTGTTCCTGCTGCTCCTCCCACATCTGGCTTCCGCACGAGGGCCGCCAGGGGGCCCTCGAACACCCGCCGTCTGAAGGCACCTCGCCTGCAGGACAGCTGCTCCCCCCGCGCCCTGGCGCCGCGCGCGAGGGGTTCGCGCGCGAGGGGGGTGGCCTCGTCAGAGACGGTGGGGGGCCTCTTGGAAGACAGGGGCCCTGGTAGACGGGCATGGACGCTTCCACGAGGCCCTCCTCAGAAGCCGGGAGTGCTCCTGAGAAGCCCCGTCCTTCCCAGAGACCGCCCTCGCCTTCTTAGAGGCCCGCCCCCCTCGAGCCACCCCGTGTGCGCGCCGTCAAACATCCCCGAAACGCGACCGTGCACGGAACAACCATGTCGTGACCGGCCCTCTGGCCAGAGCCCGCGCCGAACATGGCCACTGCAGCTCTTGCCTCGACCCGGCGTGCCCCGTTGAGCTCTAACGTCGTCCGGGGATCGGCGGAGTGGCGCAAGCCGCCTGGATTCAGAGGTCGATTTGCTCGGCTCAGCACACCGAGCGGGAGCGTTCACCGACCACCAGGAGGCTGCCGCGGCGCGGGCATCTCCTGGCCCCTCCCCGGGACAGTCGTGCAGACTGCGGCTGCCGTGACCCTGCGCGGTGGGCCGCACCGCTGCTCCGGCAAGGGAACTTCGACGTGATGTCGGCTTGACAATGTAGCCGCCGTATCGGGAGAGAGATGGCACCAGTGATCGTAAGATGCACCTGAAAAAGAGAAGACGACACCTGGCAGAGGTTGGGGAAAACGGCGCCTCACATGCGAGCTCCAGAAGATCTAGCAGCAGATTCCCTAGCGCCCTCTGCAAAACCCTGCGCCATGGGTTTGATTGCTCTCGCCGCCAACTTGTAGGTCGCCGACTTTGCGGCAAGCCTCCCCGTGACCTTTGTCAACGCCTTGTCGCCTTTCGCCATTGCTGCAACCTCGACAGCCTTGGTGCCGGCCTCCATAGCTCCCCTGGCCACCTCGCCTGCTTCGCCCCCGTAACGGTGCGCCACAACCCCTGCCACCTCGTCTGTGGCAGTACCGGCCAGCATCTCCCCGGCCCGTACGAGAGCGTCGAAGACCTGCAAGCTGCCACCGAGGGCGGCCCTGCCAGGGCCTGGGGCCCCTCTTTGCTCATCCATGCCGGCACGTCGCCCGGCTTCTTTACCTGCGGCCATTGCTGTCCCCATCAAGGCATCCACCGCCGCATTCGTGACAGTCGCCGTAGCTCTCGTGCCTGTCCGTAAGGTGCCCACCAGCAGCTTCGTGCCCAGACCGATCTGCAAGTCCTCCTGTTTCTTCATATTTTTTCTTGCCGCGGCGCCTCGCCTCTGCATCATGCCCGCCAAACCAGCAGCCGCCTTATCAATGCCACCTGCTATCGCGTTTGTGGCTTCGGATACGTGGTCGGCCGCATCCTTCTTTTTCTCCAACCTGAAATTGCAATAATTCGGTAGTGTGTTAATGAGCTCCCACAACTTGGCTTCGGGAAGTTCCTTCGGCAATCGGACCGTGAAGGTATCTCCATCATTTGCGCTTACGGAAATGAGGCGAGCTTCGTAGGCGAAGACGAGGGGTGTCTCAGGGACCAAGGGGTAATAGAAACCCGTGCTGTCATCCGAGTCTGAATCCATCCGGAATTCTGCGGTGCCAACATAGATCACTGCAACATTCAACTTCTCCGCCCATCTATCCTCTCGGCCATCTGGCCCTGCTACCTCGGTCCATGGACGTATCCTCTGCAGTGAGATCCACCCCGCGGGGTCTTCGACACGCCCACGCACTCGCATGTCTTCTTTTTCGATGGCTACTTCCAACACATTGATGCACGTGCCAATTAGCAATTCACCGATTACCTTGGAAGGGTTGTGCCTTCTCTCTGAGCATAATTGAGCAGCCTTTGTTATGCGGTACCTGCCAGGGCGGTCTTTCTTGCTCTTGGGCTGGAGCGACATCAGTTGTAGACGGCCGCTCTTCATCACGCCTCCTTCGCTTCCTGCTGCGTTCAACACTATCACTTCGGTGTCAGGGATTTCGATGAGCTGTCGCGCCACCATCAGGTCGTCGTCCTTCTTTCTGTCGCCCTCACTGCTGTCCCACTTGTTGCTGCCGCCCTTGCTGCTGCTGCTGCTGGTTCCGCCCATTGCACCGTGCACGCGCTGCCTAGCTACACCTGTGAACTACGCGGTCCAAAGAAGCCGCAACCTGAAATTGTTGAGCCCACATGGCTACGGACCCCTGCCCCGGGTGCCTTGACGAAACCGCGACGGCCAACTTTCGCCCGCAAGCTCCTCTCTCCAGGCGCAGCCTCCAAGTCCTCGGACCCTTGGGGGTCCCAAGACGGTGCGGTGACAGACCGGGCGGTGACCTCGAAATCCAAAAAACCCTCACCGCACGGGTTTGGGACCCCAGCGGCGCCCGAGAAGTCCTCGGAGAACGATCCGAATTCCAAAACCGTGCGGTCTCCCCGAACCCCAACCGACTCACCCCACGGTGTGGTCACCGCACCATTGTAGGGCATCCTACTCTCCTCGCTGTCGCGCCGCCCCCTGGGGAAAACTGGCGCTCCAGTCCAGGCAGTGCACCGCTCGCCATTAAGGAAAGGGGTCCTGAGTCCCACCAGCCCTTTAGGGCGTAGGTGCTTCAATGTGCTTCTTCTACATATTTTCTTCTCTCCGTCCTGGACTAGGCCAACTTCTCCCCCTGCCCCCTCTCCCTGGGTCTGGTGGGGACCCTCGAAAAACAAAACGCGACACGCGGCGAAAACAAGCCTGTCCTGGGTCGGGGATCTACTCACCCAGGTCAAGGCAAACCCAGGTCAGTCGGGCTCTGCATGATCCTGAAAGATCCTGCAAAACTCTGCAAGATCTTGCACGCAAGCCCAGGTCAATGCGCCCCTGGCTCTGCAGTATCCTGCAAGATCCAGCGATCTGACTGACCCCCGTTTGCATTTCGGCGGTGAGCGAGGGGGGAAGTGAGAAGGAGAAGGCCTTCTCAGAAGGCGTGAAAACTTCTCGGAAGCCCTCGCGCCTTCTGAAAAGTTTTCTGCGTCGTCGGGGAAGGCTTAGAACACTTCTCAGAAGGCCAGGGTAACTTCCGAGCCTTCTGAGAAACTCTTCTCCTTCTCCTTCTCCTTTCCCCCCCTCGCCCGCCGCCGAGCATAGACACCCGTCTCCTGAGCAACGACCGGTAAGGCGGTCGAGCGCTCTGGGGCCCCCGAACCGACTCAGACAGCACGGCGGGGCGCGGGCCGTGGGCGCCGGCGACCGACGCCCGCGAGCAGGGGCGCAAGAGGCTCTTCCAGATCTCGAGTAGGAGATCGACGACACAACTGACTTCTCCCAACATTGATTTGCCGATCGAGCCTACGAACACGGACCTAGAAGGTTCGTACAACTGTACGAATGTTCTGCGCACTTCTTTCAGGTTCGACGACAGTTTTGACTTCGGGGTACATCAATTCTGTAGGCGATCTCCTACTCGAAGATCGGCCCTCCTCTCCGCGCGGCAGCGGGTTGGCACAACTGACGGAAAGAAGACGGCCTTGCGCGAGATGGCATGGCGACCCTGCGCGGCGGTCTACGTGGGCCGCCAGCGTGGCACACGGTGTGGAGAAGAGGGCGCTTACGCGCGACCTCACGCGGCCAGCTTGCGCGCCAGTGCCGGTGAAGACGGCCCCGCTTTCCTGCCTCGCACGCACGGCATCCACGCGGCCCGCGTCTGCTGCGGCGCCCACCAGCGGCAGGGCGGGCCCGGGCTGAAACGAGGCCGAGGCCTGAGCAAGATATTGGCCCGAGACAGATCGGGGGTCTCCGAGATGCGGCGGTTCTGGAAGACGTGCCCACCCCCCCCCTCGGCGCCGTGAAGAGATCGCGACGGATTCGTTTTCGCAATTTTCGGCTCCAAAGGCTCTTACCGGGCCCCAGGACCGTCAAATACCGACTCAATATGAAAAACCGGTCCCAGGGAATGGGGCGAGACGTCCAAGGGTCCACGTCATGAACAACTCATGACGTCGGGGTCTGGGTATCGGGCGCCGCGGCCGTTCCCGAACGCTCTGAGAGCGTTCCAGAGCAAAGTAGCAAACGATGAGGAGGGAGCGGGACACGGAGGAAACGGGAGAGAGGGAGACTGGAGGAGCAGGACGTGGAGAGAGGATGAGGAGGAGTTGCAGGAGGAGGAGGAGGAGGAGGAGGAGGAGGAGGAGGAGTTTTTTTGTGCTGGTGGGGCCAAGGGGTGCAGTCGAGACTAGCAGCCAGCGGCCTCGCGCTTAGGGCGCGAACAGTGGGCTGACGGGCACCTCCCAGGCAGGGTGAGGAGGAGCAAGAAGGGGGGGGCGAGTGCCTCCGTCAGGAAAAACACAAAAATTCAAAAACGGGAGCGGACCCAGGACCAACCAGCCTCAAGCATCATCCTCCTCCTCGGACCCAGGAAGGACCACCAGGCCCTTAAATTTGTGGTCGAGGGCGAATGCGCCAAAGGGGGTGGGGCGGGGTCCGACTCCCGAGGCCCGAAGCTCGATCCCGCTGCGGGGGTGGCAGCCACGCCACAGCTTACGCAGGCGGTCCCACGCAACAGACCCACGCGGGCAGCTTCCGTGGCAATCTTGACCGAGCTTCTGGGTGTTGTGCTCACTATAAGCACCGCAGACACTGCAAAACACAAAAGGGCCCACCGTCCAAACGCGGTGGCCAGCTCCAGGTCTGCAGGGGGTGGCTTTCAAAATCTGGATCGTGCTCCCCGATCTCAGGCACCTGATGCACCTGAAGCCGCCCTTGGGAAACCAGACAGGGTCATGAGTGCCCTCGGGAGGCGCAGCATCATCCGAGAGCCGAGGGACGATTCGGCGCCCCCTCCGAAGCCCCACCTCGCGACGGGAGGCGGAGGCCAGACTTGGCCCTGCCCCACGGATGGTCCTGGCCAAGTACTTACCCACATACTGGACCAGCCGATGGGAACGGATCACTCGATCCTCGGCCTCCTGATCGGAGGGGTGCATGGCGGCTCCTGCGCGCGCCGTCTCATCAGCAGCCTTATTGCCTAGGCGCCTCCATCGAGCACCCTCGTCAAGGTCGTCATCACGCACACGCGCGTGACCCTTGACCTTGGTCACAACGACCTCCCCCCCCAAGTCCGACACACGGTCCCAAACCCCCTCCCATAAGTCGGCACAGGCGTGCAGCGCACCAGTGGTCTCACAACGTCCCTTACGGAAGCTGGAGACCACCCAATCACAGTCAGAGAGGTACTCATAAGGGCCAAACATTACATTATCAAGATACATCTTGAAAGCAAAGAGTTCGGCAACCTCAGAGCTCTGGTTTAAACCTGGGAGGGGGCCGCACAGCGAGGCCAAGACATCCAAACCGCTCGAATTCACCTGGACAACTCCCCAGCCAGCACGGCGAAGTCTGGGGTCAGAGGCCACAAGCGAACGGCACGAGCCGTCTCCAAAACATGGGCCTTCAAAGGCCCCCGACGGGGGTCGCACGCGCCAGTGAACGAGCAGGTCCATCGTGGGACGAGGAAGCCAGGGCCGAGGGTCGGCCACCAGGCCGTGGCCCCAGAGGGGCCAGTCAGGGTGATTTAAGGCACCCTCTCGCAATGAAGGTGGCACTAGGTAGTCGCGACGGAAAGCCCAAGTGCACGCACAGTCCCCCCAACACCAGTGCCCCACGGTCCCAGGAGCCTCACCGCAGAGCGAGCACATTGGGCTATCCCTCAGGCCGACACTGTGCAGCCGCTCATCCCCCCAGAACCCGTTGGCCGCAAGACATCGGAGCGTAGCCTTGTGCATGCCAGTCCAGTCGTCATCGGTACGGCTAGACACCAGGGCCTTCAGAGGGGCGAGGTAGGGTCCGTGGGAGAGGGTACTAAGGTAGCTTTCTTCGCAGCGGGCCTTGTCAAGGAGCCAAGCCTCGACACCCCACTGCGCAACCATCCTCACTGTGCGGGGGCACTCACGACAAAGATCAAGCACTTCACCGTCGGCAGTACACAACTTGCCCACACCCGTTCCAAGAGTCCAACCGATCCTGAAACAAGAAGCCAGCGCTGCCGAAACAGGACCCGTGACCTGGCTCCAGGGTGTCTTGGCCCCTCTGAGGGCCTTGTCCGCGTTGAAGAGCATACGGCACAAGATCTCCCGAGGCATCCAGTCGTCCCAGAAGGCTTGGGCGAGCATGACAATGGGGTTCACTGTGCAAGGGTACGCGGGGTCGATGGACGCGGTGTCTCCAGGAACCAGAGCCAGGTCTATGGTGAGGGATCTGCGGGCCGTGTGAGGGAACAGGGCCGCCCTCGCAGCCCTCCTGAGGGCCATCACTCCGCTCCAAGACCTTCCAGTGACCCCGTCACCCCAGGTCCCTGCAGGGACCAGCCCCATGCTGACCAGCTGTTTGCACTTTCCCCTGGCCCTGCGAAGTGCTCGGATTTTTACACAACGCCTTTTGACCTTGCCCAGGCGCCCCAACCGCGTGCGCATGCCCTGCCGCTTGCCGCAGCTGTAGTCGCAGCCCAGGTTGCGAGTCGACTGGTCTCTGGCCTGCACGAGCGACGGGCAGCGCTTGCCGAGGTCCACGCTGGCCTGGTAGTCATTGCCGATGAGCTTGCCCTTCTTCTCGTTCAGCAGCAGCTCGGCGTCGTGGAGTGCACTCCTCGCCTGGCGGTAAGCCTTGCTGAGCTGCTGCACGACGGTGGGCCGAGTGCCTGTAGACTGCATCTGGATGTCGTCGACCACGTTGCCGACTGAGATGCCAGGCAGGCTCACCAGGTCATCCAAAATGGGAATAAGAAAGATGCGCATCATCAGGTCAGCGAATGAGCATCCTGCTACCACGCCACGCATCGGCGTCATCAGCTCGAAGACGATGCCTTCGAAGGATAGCAGCCTGGGCATGGAGTACAGCATGAGCAGCAGCCGTAGCAAGCACATGTTGAAGCCCAGGTCGGTAGCACGGGTCGCCAGACGGTTCCAGCGGATGTACTCATAAGCCTTGGAGAGGTCCAGCAAGATGGAGAGGCAGGTCTTACCACTGTGTGTGGCCCACTCGCCTGCAGCCGCCTGCCTCCATACACAGGCCTCACAACTCTGACCTTCGGTGCCGAAGATGTAGCTGCGCTTGTTCTTGTCGGCCCACTTCGCGCCCGTGGTGGCCCGCAAGTATCGCGTCAGTGGCCGCACCGTGCCAGGGAAGATGCCAATTGTGCGTCTCCCACCATCGGGCTTCGGAAGGAGAGCCTCGCGCATGACACGAATCGGGGCCGGGATGTAGCCAAGACGCAACATCAGAGACCAGAGTTCCAACAAGGTCTGTAGCGCATCATCGCTTAGAAAAATCAGATGTCGAGGGTGGACCACGTCACAGCCCAGCCCTGTGTCCGACTTGAAGGTGTGTGCTGTCTTCCGCAGGTCCTCGATCGACGGGAGCTCGATGTCCCCGACGTCCGCGGGCCAGCGAACGGCTGTGATGCCTTCGCCTTG